CGGCTCCCCGCTTATGCTAATGAAGCCCGGGAAATTCAAATCCCGGGCTTCATTAGCAAGTGCGGTATGCATACATTACCCCGCTAGTTCGAACTAGCGGGGTAGTGTAGACATACCCTAAGGTATTAAGAGTCAATTCCTTTAAGACAATAGCTGGAGTAGTAGATAGGCCACAAAGGAGATTTAAGATGGCTTGGTCCGTTTCTAATCTTTTCTGTCCGCTACAGATGAAGTGGGATGTGTGGACCCGAAAATCTGTGAAGCCGTCTGTGGTGCTAAAGTGGGTTGCTCTAACATCGCCTACCCTAAGCTCGTAATGGGACTCATGCCTGTAGGTGAGAAAGTTATATTCCTAGGGGCATGGGTCAGGCCGCATTATGACTTTCGTGGGCCCTGGGCACTTTTACCTTAGTGGGCCCTTCCTCCATACAAAAAAAATATTAAAAATTATTTTTGATATAACTTTAAATACTTCAACATTTTATTTTTTTTCTGTTTTAGGCAAAATTTAATAGATTTTCTTGGGCCCTAAAAGTTTCATTTTTTTCTGATGTGAGAAAAAAATTAAAATATTTTCTTCGACCCTAAAAGTTCTTTTTTTTCTTCTGATTTTAAAAGAAATTAAAACATTTTCGTGGGCCCCTAAAAATATCGTGGGCCCTAGGCACTGTGCCTACTGTGCCTAATGGATAAGTCGGGCCTGGTATGGGTTTGTATCAGCACTGAACAGTTGTGTACACAGAAAGGAGTGCCTTTTGAGCTATCCCTATGAAGAACTAATCTCCTACAACTATCAGCTGGGTTGGTAAACAAATAAGAGATAACAAAGTTTCTTTTCCATCGTGTAGGAGTATGTGTGTACATGTGCGTTTGACAGATAGGCGGATAAATAGAAGTAACCGTGCTGAATGGGAAAGAATACAGTATCTGCTGTGGAAAAATAGCAAAAGAAACAAAGGCTATGTCTGGACTGCAGGCTTCTTTTGGAAAAAGATTTCTGGACGTGATCTTCCAAAAAATCTTCTTCCAAAAGAGAGCATCTACACAGCAAAAGCACATCGGAAAAGCGATCTACTTTTTCGAAAGATAGCGTCCACACTGAAGGGACACTATCTCGCATTATTTTCGGCCATTTTTCTGAAAAAACTCTGTAATGTGGACATACCCAAACAAACAAACAAACAAACAAAAAACCCATAAGTGTCTAAAAATGTGGACATTTGCTATGTTTTTAACAGATTTTTTTTAACTTTTCACATCTTTACATGAAACTAAAGTTCTAAAAAAAAAATGTTCCTGTAAAATTTTTTATTTTCAAAAAAAGACTTTAAAAAAAATAAAGAATTTGACTTTAAATGTTGATTAGCTCTCAAAAGTTGAGATACACCCAGGCCTGAGCCACAGATCCTAAGAGTTCTCTGGCCTTTGCTTATTTTCATAGGCAGCATGTGATACAGGAGCTAAAAAACCAAAGAGCTGTACCTAATGATCCTTGTTCGTTTCCCAGGACTCCGGGGCTTGATGATTGCCGTGATGATGGCAGCCCTGATGAGTTCCCTCACCTCGATTTTCAACAGCAGCAGCACGCTCTTCGCCATAGATATCTGGCAACGGCTCCGCAAGAAAGCCACGGAGCAGGAGCTCATGATTGTTGGCAGGTCCTCTCACTTCCTTATGGCTTCACTGAGCATTTTAAGCTGAAACCATTTTCTGTTGTTTCTGTTTTGACGGCAGGTCAAAATATCCTAATGGCTACACCAAAAGTCAGAGACTGCAAGGTCAGAAGGAATCGTTGCCATTAGAGCCATTTTCACCCATTGGCAGAGTATGCAGCTGTGTGGGGCACCTGAAAATTTGGGGCACCACTGGGTCTTAATGCCCATCCACCCAGTTCTTCCTACCCCTGTTCTGTGGCTCTGCTTCCTCCAGAGAGGATCTAGTTAGCTTCAAAGTGAAAAAGCCTGCCGGAGCTATCAGCAGAACACTGAACCTGTGAAAGAGCCAGTGGAGTGGTAACGAACAGGCATTTGCCAACCCCAGGTCTAGACTGTCAGTCTCTGAATTCACCATATTAGGATCTTCATTTAAAATTCACTTTAAAACTACAGGCAGTCCCCGGGTTACATGGATCCAACTTACATCGGATCCCTACTTACAAACGGGGTGAGGCAACCCCGCACTAGCTGCTTCCCCCCAGCAGACCAGGGAGACGCGAAGCTAGCGCCCTCCCTCCCAGCAGACCAGGGAGACGCGAAGCTAGCGCCCTCCCTCCCAGCAGACCAGGGAGACGCGAAGCTAGCGCCCTCCCTCCCAGCAGACCAGGGAGACGCGAAGCTAGCGCCCTCCCTCCCAGCAGACCAGGGAGACGCGAAGCTAGCGCCCTCCCTCCCAGCAGACCAGGGAGACGCGAAGCTAGCGCCCTCCCTCCCAGCAGACCAGGGAGACGCGAAGCTAGCGCCCTCCCTCCCAGCAGACCAGGGAGACGCGAAGCTAGCGCCCTCCCTCCCAGCAGACCAGGGAGACGCGAAGCTAGCGCCCTCCCTCCCAGCAGACCAGGGAGACGCGGAGCGGCTTTTCTCAGCAGACACCTCAGCTTGAGAATAAAGGACTGAGGGAAGTGAGGGGTGGGAGAATAAAACTGAGCTCTGGAGAAATGTTTGGCTAGAGTTTCCCCTACAATATGTACCAGTTCCGACTTACATACAAATTCAACTTAAGAACAAACCTACAGTCCCTATCTTGTACGTAACCCGGGGACTGCCTGTATTTCATTAGCGTGTTGCTGAAATTTATAAAATCACATCTCTAAAAAAATCATCGTCCTGCCCACTCCAACTGCCATCGGGCACAGGGGCACCAATCGAATAGTACTACGTAGGACCCCATAAATCCAAAGGGCTGTCCTGATTGTGGTCATCCAATCTGACTCCTGTACAACACAAGTCAGAGAACTGCCCTGAATCAAATCTCGTTTGAACTAGAGCATAACGTTTAGTGGGAGGGGGGAAATGAGCGAAAAGGAACATGCCTAGGACATGTTAATTAAAAAAAACTTAAAATCTGAGCCGAGTTGTTTTTCCCAACTTTACTTGGAGTAGATTCAGTTATATAGACAGGCTCAACTTGCCACAGATCTAGAGAGATCATTTCTTCTGTGTTCTCTAAATCTGTAAGAGGTTCCTTTCCTAAACATAATCCAAAGTGAAATCATGGCCCCCTCTAATGGCAGATTCCAGTACTGCATTACACCAAGACTGTAAAACCTTCCCGCTAAGACTGTTCCCAATATTCTAGCCTTTTCGCTGAGGTCACCCATATTAAGAAAGCTTCAGAGCACCCATGTGAGTTAGGTGAAGGACAGAGGGGGCTGGAAGCATCAGCTAAGAGCACACAGGAGGCCAATTCAAGGCAGAGAAGGAAGAGGGTATTGTGTGCCGCTGAGCTTCTGTGGGAATGTAAGTAGGAGGCAGTGACAAAGCTGGAATTTGGGGGAGGTGCCAGAGTTAACACCTCCACTCTTCTGAAAGGTGGCTGTGGCATTTTATGACCACAAGGTGTCATCTAAGAGACAATGCCTCATCCAAGAGACAACGCCTCCCGCAGAAGAGTTCCCACTGCAATGTGTAGGGCTAGTGGGGCAGTAATGATTCAGCCAGCCCCAAGGGTGCCCTTCCCAGAACCATCAGCACCACATCTTGCCACGCTCTGGTTCTCCTTGCAGCTCTCCTATTCAGGTCCTGACAAGGCCTCCCTAGCTTGATCTGTGCATTCTGACCAGATCTCCGCCCAGGGTTGTTTGCCTGCCAGCCCCCAGAGGTGAATGAAAGGTGTGTCCTGCTTCCAGTTACAAGGAGAAACCTGTCCTAGATTTTGCCTCAGATGAGGACTTCAGTCATGATGGTTTCCCTTGGAAGTCATTGCAAAAGCAAGGATGTATGTCTTGCTTGAGTGCGTTTCCGGGTGGATTCTGAAGCACACAGAGCTAATACCCTTTGTTCCAATCTCTGGTCTTCCAGGGTGTTTGTTCTCATCCTTGTCGTCGTCAGTATTCTCTGGATTCCCATCATTCAGACGTCCAACAGCGGTCAGCTCTTTGACTACATTCAGTCCATAACCAGCTACCTAGCCCCACCAATTACTGCCCTCTTCATCCTGGCTATCTTCTGCAAGAGGATCAATGAGCCCGTAAGTGAGGAATCAGTGACTGGGCCAGTAGGGGTAACGGCACCGCCTCACTGGGATGGGGGGAGGTGTTTGTGTGAATTCTTTGCAAACATTGTTGCATACCAGTAATTGGAAACATTAGAAATCAGAGAAATTAGAACTCATTCCAGTTGTTTGGGCTTACCAATACAATGATTTTAGACAGGAAATCTCACAGGACGTGATGGTTGAGGGATGGGACTGGTCTATAGACCCTTTCATCGCTAGGTCACCTGTTCAGACTCAGCCCAGCAAAGATGTGACCATCACAAAGTGGCTTAGTGACCTGAGTTAGCAGGCCATAGCCCTGTTTCAGTTGGATGGGTATCCCCCTTACAGAAGCCACCACAACAGGGGCTAGGTCTGCATTAGACCCGAAAGGTCAGCTTAAGTTACACAGCTCCAGCTACGTACATAACATAGCTGGAGTCGGCTTGGAGCCGTCTTCACAGTGGGATGTTGACGGAAGCAAATACTCCCATCGGCTTCCATTACTCTTCACTACTGCAAGGAGTACTGGCACTGACTGGAGGACACCCTCAGCGTTTGATTTAGCGGGTCTTAACTAGAGCCGCTAAATCAAACACCAGAAGATTGATCTCCAGTACATAAGTATAGATGTGGCCTGAGGCTAATTGTCAGCCTCAGCAAGAGGGGCCATGGAAACTGAACTGGCTTCATATTCCTAGAGAAGGCAGTCTGTGAGAAGCAAACTTGCATTTCCACTGTCTGTGCTGTGACTATTCTATGAACAGAGAGAGCCTTCAGCCCATATCTTCATAGGGCCTCAGGTTCCTAGCTCCCATAACTTTGAGGAGCTTACTTTAGTCTCTAGGAGACAGATCCTTGCCCTAGCTCCATTAAAGTCAATCCATCCAGCATCTTTCACTAGTTTGAATTCATGTATAAAACACCTACAGTGTTTGGCTTCCCTCCAGTCCAGTAGGAAGAGGGGGAAACCAGATTTGTACCATTGCCCTGTGTTTCTCTGTGCCTTCTTCTTTCCACACAAGAGAGGAGCATCATGGGGTTGCTTAATCCTACTGTTTCAAAACTTCCACTGGGGTCTGGTTCTGCTCCTGACACAAGCTCAGCCTTTGAGGCAGGAGAAACCCCAAAAGGGATTTCCGACCGTATTTCAGAACCTAGCTCACAGCCCCAATTATTTCTGTCACGTCAGAACTTTTCACTAGAACCCTGGAAAACAAAGTGGTAGTGAAAATGAAAATCCCGTTCCCCTTTCCGGTAGCAACCCCATATGAAGCTCAAACCATCTTTCTAACCTTTCCATTGGTTTTGTAGCTCCTCCTTTATGATGTGGCCAGAAACAAATTTCTCCCTCATGCAAGGACTGCAGATTCTTTCAAAGGCTTTTACCCCTGTTTCTGAAGCAGGTGGGATGGCCACTGTCTGAGACACACAGTTGGACTAACAGGTACCAGTCCTGCAATGAGTGGAACATCAACAGAACTTGGTGTCCACACAGAACCTCACTGAAATCAATGGAAGGCCCTTAGCTCGGTTGGGTCTGATTGCAGTCATAAGGGGAAATGAGTGGCTTGCAAGTTTGTTGGGCAATTCAAGGTACCTGACATGAATGAATTCCCTTCCTTTGCTGTCCTGCTCTGTTGACTTTCAGGAGATAGAGCCATTCCTAGAAAGGGACTATAAAAAAAACTCACAAAGATGCTTCGTTCAATTAGGGCAACCAGGTAGCAACTGTGAAAAATTCAGGCAAAGTGGCCATATAAAATAATATGTCATTAATGTAATGTAATAGGTGTCTATACAAGACAAAGTCCCAAATATCGGGACTGTCCCTATAAAACTGGAACTGGTCATCAACTGACATTTTTAATGAGCCCTCATTTCCTCATACTTCTCTTCCATGTTTTCTTTGCAGGGTGCTTTCTGGGGCCTCATGTTCGGCTTGGTAGTAGGTGCCATTCGGATGATCATGGAGTTTTCCTATAAAGTGCCATCCTGTGGCGAGGAGGACCTAAGACCAGCTGTCCTAAAGGATGTGCATTACCTGTACTTTGCCCTCATTCTCTGCGTGCTCACAGGCATCATCATTACCCTAGTCAGTTTCTGCACTCCACCCATCCCAGAGGAAAAGGTAAGCAGCTCTGTGGTTCAAAGCTTTCCAGCCCCACTATAGTGGAAGGTCCAAGAGAACGCTATTGTCTCTCCTATTATGGAGTTCTCAGGGCCTATCACACACCTCTACAAAAGAGCATCTTTCCCAAATCCTTCCATTTTCCACAACTCGTAGGGTGCATCTACACAGCACCCTAAACTCAAAATAAGATACGCAATGTGTGCTATGCAAACTGCGTATCTTATTTCGAAATAGCATATTTTGAAATTTGACACGTCTACACAACGCCAAATTTCGAAATAACGTGGAACAAAGGTTACAGGGATGCCGAAATAGCACATCCACTATGCGAGATCTAACTCAAAATAGCGGGTGTGTTCAAAAGATGTGGGGTATCTATTTCGGGATACTTCCTGTATCCTGAAATTGCCCTGCTGTGTAGCTATACTCATAGGCTCCATCTAGACTGGCAAGTTTTTCTGCAAAAGCAGCTGCTTTTGTGGAAAAACTTGCCAGCTGTCTACACAGGCCGCTTGAATTTCCGCAAGACCACTGACGATCTCATGTAAGATTGTCAGTGTTCTTACAGAAATACTATGCTGCTCCCTTTCGGGCAAAAGCCCTCTTGTGCAAATGCTTTTGTGCAAGAGGGCCAGTGTAGACAATGCTGTATTTGTTTTGCGCAAAAAAGCCCCGATGGTGAAAATGGCGAACGGGGCTTTCTTGCGCAAAACCGCGTCTAGATTGGCACAGACTCTTCCGCAAAAAGTGGAAAAGCATCCGTGCCAATCTAGACGCTCTTTTCCACAAATGCTTTTAATGGAAAAACTTTTCCGTTAAAAGCGTTTGTGGAAAATCATGCCAGTCTAGACGTAGCCATGGTGTCAGCACTGCTTGTGGCTGAATGAAGTATTGACTAGCTGGCTTTATAGCTTAAATTGTAGCACCTCCTATACTAAGCTCCAGACATCCCAGGTTCAAACCTGCTCAGTGGTGGTTATACAAGTTCCTGTGCTGTGCTTAGAGCCATGCAGACACCAGCATACAATCTGTCTGGGAGAGAAGGGAAAGAAATGGGGGGAAGGGAGCGAAATCATATTACAGTGTGTTGCTGAGAAGGACGTAAGTGGCTTTAATTGAAGCTGCTGCCCTATTTCAGCAAAGTCCCCATCAGTCTTGCAAGCAAACAAGATGAATATCTTCACAACACTGGCATAAGAGAAATAGCCTTCCAGCCCAATGTGATCTCAATTACATTTAACAAGGCAGCGTCTTGGTACAAAAGAAAGCAACTTTCCTTCACTTACTGTATTAAAACAAAACTGTGCATAAAGGTTAAGGTGACCGCTAAAAGACTAAGTAGTTTAGGGTTTGAGGATGTTTGGTTTGCTGAGCAGTTGCAATAAAAATTGAGGGCAGGAAGAGAACAAACAGTAATCAGGCAAAACTGTGTTCCATGAGTGTAATTTTTTAGAAAGACTTTCTGAATGGGGTATGGGCTACACAGATTCTCTGGGCCACATGGAGCCCCGATGCCTCCCCTCAGTGGAGTTACATGGGGTGAATGTGATCCCATGTGTAGGGGAGGAGGAGAGAACGACATTCCTAGATTCCAAGGCCAGAATGGACCACTGTGGTCATCGTATGACAATTTCCTAGAGCAGATCTTTCAGAAACGCATCCCAAAGCAGCAGTGATGGAGAATTTGCCCTTGGGTCAGGATACGGTCTTGTTCTTTTCTTCATGCCTCAGTGTAAATCGGACCAGAAGGTATGGAACTGTGCACCAGGAGCAAGCAAATCAATCCAATGGGGTCCGGGGGAACCTGACAGTCTGGGCCAGGAGCAGAGTAGAGGAAGAATGGAGGCAGGAGGGGCCATTTCCAGCTCGGGGGGGGGGGGGGGGCGGGGGGACC